TTCTGGTTAAAGACTTGCAGCTTAAGGCGTGAGGCTTTTTAGGGCTTTGGTTTCAGATTTCAAAGGCTCACTGCTCAGGGCCTACCCTAAACCCTAAACCCTAAACCCTAAACCTTAAACCCTCAGCCCTAAACCCTAAACCCTAAACCCTAAACCCTAAACCCTTAAGTCCATGCTGCATGCATGGCCCAGGTCGCTGCGGAGAGCTTCCGGTATTGGAGCCTCCACGCGCAGTGCGCCGCTCGCCTGCCACTGCGGCATACAGGGGTTTAGGGTTTAGGGTTTAGGGTTCAGGGTTTAGGGTTGAGGGTGTGCCAGAACCAAGGTTTAGGGTTTAGGGTTTAGGGTTTAGGGCAGACTCAGGAAGCCCTTAACCGCAAACCCCCATAATTTTTCAGGGTTTTAACATCACCAAGAAGACTTCAAGGCCATTTCGGTCCAGAAACCTTCGATCCGACTTTAGCATAGGGAGAATCCTGACATTCCCACTCGCCGTTCCCGAAGACGCTGGACCTAAACCCGAAGCGAAGCCACTCTGAACCCCAGATCTCTCCTGCTTAGAGGCCACTGTAATGTGAATCTCAGTTAATATAGACGCCTGAACAGTTACCTCACTATTTTTGGGGGGTTCCTTAAGATAGTTATAGTATAATATATCCCGAAACCTTATTCTAATGACTGTCTCTAAGAGGGCAGGCGATGCAGCGTCGGAATCTGGCTGCAGGTCCCCGAAACCCTGCACCCGAAGCCAATAGACCCTTTAAGCCCCTGAGCCCAAACCCTAATGTAGGGGCCTTAATAATCGGAATAGAGTTTGGGGGTATGTTATTCTGTAGTTATACCAAGGAACCCCGAAAAGCCTATTCTGATCATTAAGGCCCCTACATTACGCCCTAAACCCTAATCCCTAAACATGAGCCCTAAACCCCCACACCCCTTGCAAAGGACATGATGCTGTTGATGGGTGGAACTGGCATCAATGCTTGCGGAAGGCCTATTTTGTCTTCAAAACAGGGTGCTGCTGAGATGACTCATGGTTCAGCATAAGGGTGCCGCACTATATTTGGGACCCAAAAAAAGCACCAGTTTAGAGAGCTACCACCTTCTCTCGTGAGGGGAGTAATGGTACTGTTAATGATATAAATCCTGCATTACATGAAGGGCCCTAAACTATGGGATTATAGCATATTCCTTATTCTGGGTAGTGTAGGATTTATATCATCAGCCGTAGTTCGCCATTCACACGAGCGTTATTTCTTGCCCTTGTTCTTGGAAGGTCCTAATGGAGGGTTTCCGAAATTAAGGGGTACCTTATTATGGGGGCCCTTAAAAAATAAGGATCCTACTATCTAGGGTCCTATACTACCTAAACCCTAAACCCTAAACCCTAAACCCTAAACCCTAAACCTTACCTAAACCCTAAACCCTAAATCCTAGGGTACTATTATTAGAGCCCCCTAGTTTCGGAAACCCCCCAGGTCGCTTCAAGCCTGGAGTGTGGAGGTCCAAGTTGTAGGGAGGCTGTGGGTTTTAGGGTGATTCGGGTTTAGGGTTCAGGGTTTAGGGTACAGGTTTAGGGTACAGGGCCTAAGGTTTAGGGTTTAGGGTTCAGGGTTTAGGGTTTAGGGTTTAGGGTTCAGGGTAGGGTTCAGGGGCCTCAATAACTACCTCTAAAGAGCCCCAAGCCCTATTCTAAGTATTAAGGCCCCTGCATTAGGGTTCAGGGTCGAGGATCCAGGATTCCTGGCTGCGGTTTCCCGGATCTAGGATTCGGATCGTGCCTCAGCGACCCCTAAAGCAAATCAGATGAAAGGCCTACGTACCGCCCGCACGACTACGGCGAGTGGAGCCACAAGAAGAAGTTGCCGAAAAGCTTCGACCACGGCTTGAGTCTCAAGGCGCTGCCAGCCTTCGATGTTCAACTGCACTTCACGGCCTTCCGCTATAAGAGCCTACGTGGCCTACGTAATTCCCCATACAGTATTTGAGGGTTCCCTTAAAAGTCTTATACGGTCACATATACCAAAACCTTCTTTGTAATTATGAGGCCGACATCATAGTCATAGATCCGTTATCGTATCCCCTTGAAGGACCCCATTTCATTAATGCCCCCTGCATTTCCATGATTTTGAGAAGCTGCAGGAGTTTAGCTGCTCGCCGGCTTCGTGTAGTTAGGTCAGTTTTCGGATCTGGAGGCCGAGACTAGACGGTTTCGAGTTCGGCTAAGGTGGGGCTGAGGGTTTAGGGGTTGAGGGGGTTTAGGGTTTAAGGGCTTCGGCTTAAGGGGTTGAGGGGTTTATGGGTTTAGGCTCTCCATGGTGAAGTGGTCAAAACTTTTTGCTTTTGAAGAGGATCACATGAAGCGCCGAATTCAAAACCTTCGTCAGACACTTTAAACCCTAAACCTTAAACCGATCTTGTTCGGTTTTTGCTGCTTCTGCATCAAGGTACCCGACCACCAAGCTGCAAAAAACAGTGATGCGGATCGTTGTTATATATAGATGACAATGGTCACAAGACTAATCACATTAATGGTCTTCATCATCAGAGCCTGAATCTCACACTCATAATTTCCGCCACCACCACCACCACCACCACCACCACCACCACCACCACCACCACCACCACCACCACCGCCACCACTGTAATCATCGCTATCGTCATCATCAACGTCATCGTCGTCATCGTCATCATCATCATCCTCCTCCTCATCATCATCATCATCAAAATCTTCACCATCATGATCATCATTTTCGTGCCCGTAATCTTAATCAGAACGTAACCATGAGCACTGTTACAAGTACTCATGTGCAAAACCATAGTCAGCAAAATGTATACCCGTTCTCGCAGCGTATTCTTATTGTCTTCGTTACTAGTATCATTGCATTATCACCGTTATCGCTCTATTATTGTTACCCCTAAACCCTAAACCCTAAACCCTAAACCCTAAACCCTAAACCCTAAACCCTAAACCCTAAACCCTAAACTGTAAGCCAGCCGAGACTCACAGGTGTCTTGCTGGAACGAGCGCTACAGCGCTGTGCGAGGCAGCCCCTCGTCTCACAAAGCACCGAACACCCCTGCTTGGAATAATTAGGGTTTAGGGTTTAGGGTTTAGGGTTTAGGGTTTAGGGTTTAGGGTTTAGGGAGCCTTAACAATTGGAACAGGGTTTGGGGTATGTTATACGATAATCATAATAAGCAACCCTCCAACACCTTATTCTAATTCTTAAGGCCCCTACATTATGGTTTAAGGTTTGGGAGGGCTCCCTCAGAAATGTAAACAGGGTTTTGTAAATTGGGGGTCCTTTTTGATTGGGATAGTGTTTTTTTTTGGCGGGGGGTGGGGGGAGGGGGGGGGGTGGGTTATATCACTAATACCTAAACCCAACTCAAATCAACCAGCCCATAAACATCCATCCCATTTGGATTGGAACTTTTGGGTTTGGGGCCAGACCCCTAGACCCTAAACCCCAATATCCCTACTGGCCTGAACCTCTGAAGCCTTGAAATGCTTGAACTTCTTCGGCCCCAGGGGACCTCCAGTAGAAGCCTGAACTTAGGGTTTCGAGTTTGGGGGTTTCGGGTTTAGGGTTTAGGGGCTTAGGGCTTAGGGTCAAGGGTGTAGACTTTTGACTTATTCTGTTCTCAGCCACAAGGCCTGTGTTCAAACCTTATAAGGCCTCCACAGAAGTTTTACGTCAGTGAACTGATCAGATGATCGCCAGACTTCGCGCGACTCCCTGAACCCTAAACCCTGAACCCTAAACCCTGAACCCTAAAACCCTAAACCCTAAAACCCTAAACCCTAAACCCTGAACCCTGAACCCTAAACCCTAGTCCCGGGCCTTCCTCAGTGTCGGGCTATGGGTTGATGGGCCAGTTGATGGGTCATGTAGGCCCCGAGTGAACAGATCGCCTATTGATGATGATTAATTATAGAAGACATCCCGTAGGGTTTAGGGTTTAGGGATCCCTATGTGAAGGCTTCCAGGGGGGTTATCCATCAAAGGGTCCACCTTTTTCGTGCTGGTGTGTTGGGTTTGGGTTTAGGGTCGGTGTCTAAGGAAGAGGCCGCTACCACAGGTCGATTCAGCCCTCACGCTTGAGGGGTTTTTGGGTTTAGGGGTTTATGGGTTTAGGGGTTTAGGGTATGGGGTTTTAAGGTTTGAGATGGGCCCTAAACGCTAAACCCTCACGCCCCATCTTCCGCCCAGGCACAGGGAGTACCGGGGAAGTCCTGACCTGCGTGAATGGGCCACTTGGAGTCTACCAGGACAGTTTCGGTATAAGGACCCAGGTTTCGAGTTCGGGAGTAGGGTGCTTTAGGGTTACTATGACAGTTCTATAAGGGATTATACAGAGGTCTCTCTAAGGGTTACAGCTTAAGCCTTATATCTATAGTTCAAGACTAGTGTCACTAGTCGTATGCATCAAACTCTACACCCTAAACCCTAAACTCCTACACCCGAAGCTTCATCTTTCGAAGTAAGCCCTAGCCTCTGAAACCTTAAACCCCAAGCCGAAAGCCCAGTTGGGCCCCCTCCAGGATCGCTCATCCGATCAAGACCTGACACATCCTGTCCCAGCAGTACTCTTCTCCGCAAAGACTACATCTCAAATCCTAAACTCCACCCTCGCAAACTCTACACGCCCTTGCACCCAGAAGCCCTGCACCGTGTAGGCCAAGAATCCGCGAATGTTTCTCAGATGTACCCTTTTCAGTCGTCCTTGCCCGATAAACTAGTCAGGGTGTAGACTACGGCGCCTTACACATCGTCTGAGATTTTCTCACGAGGCTAGAGTCAGCTTCTACTAGACTTCATGAATTGTTGGCCAGGTTTTGACCAAATCTGGCAAAACGGGGTCTCTGTCTTGTGGCGATTTTGCGTCGTAAACCCTGCACTCTGAGCACCGGGGGTTTTGGATTTTTACCCTAAGCCCTAAACCCNNNNCTAAACCCCTAAACCCTAAATTGCTTTCTTGCCCTGGCCGGAAGAAGAATTCTTCCGAAGCCCGACATGGCCATCAAACCCTGTAGGGCCAGCCCTAAACTGCAATTATGGAACTCTGACAAGGGCCCTGGTAACACCCCGTACAGAAGCTCCAAGCCCCCCTAAACCCTAAAC